GCTTCGCTTAATTGGATTAGCTTCGCTTCGCTTCGCTTAGCTTCGTGTTCGCTTCGCTTAGCCTCGCTTCTCTTAGCCTCGCTTCTCTTAGCCTCGCTTCTCTTAGCCTCGCTTCGCTTAGCTTCGCTTCGCTTCGATTAGCTTCGCTTAGCTTCTCTTCGCTTCGCTTAGCCTCTCTTCGCCTAGCTTAGCTTTGCTTTGCTTAGCTTCGCTTCGCTTTGTTTAGCTTCGCTTCGCATATCTTCGCTTCGCCTCGCATAGCTTCGCTTCGCTTCGCTTCGCTTCGCTTCGCTTCGCTTAGCCTCGATTCGCTTCCCTTAGCTTCTCTTAGCTTCGCTTCGCATCTCTTAGCTTCGCTTAGCTTCGCTTCGCCTAGCTTCGCTTAGCTTCGCTTCGCATTGCTTAGCTTCGCTTCGCTTCGAATAGCTTCGCTTAGCTTCTTGTTCGCTTCGCTTCGATTAGCTTCGCTTTGCTTCGCTTGCCTTCGTGTTGGCTTCGCTTAGCTTCTCTTCACTTCGCTTCGCTAAGCTTCCCTTAGCTTCATGTTCGCTTCGATTAGCTTTGCTTCGCTTCGCTTCGCTTAGCTTCGTGTTCGCTTCGCTTAGCCTCGCTTCACTTAGCTTCGCCTAGCTTCTCTTAGCTTCGCTTAGCTTTGCTTTGCTTCGCTTAGGTTTCCTTAGCTTAGCTTCACTTCACTTCGCTTTTCTTCCCTTAGCTTCGCTTAGCTTCGCTTCGCTTCGCTCAACTTCGCTTCGTTTCGCTTCACTTCTATTAGCTTCGCGTAGCTTCGCTTCGCTTCGCATAGCTTCGCTCTGCTTCTCTTTGCTTCTCTTCGCTTCGCTTCGCTTAGCTTCGCTTCACTTTGCTTGCTCCGCATAGCTTCGCTTCGCTTAGCTTTGCTTAGCTTCGCTTAGCTTCGCTTCGCTTCGCTTCGCTTCGGTTCGCTTTGCTTCCCTTAGCTTCGCTTCGCTTCGCGTCGCTTCGCTTAGATTCGCCTCGCTTAGATGCGCTTAGCTTTGCGTCGCATATCTTCGCTTCGCTTCTCTTAGCTTAGGTTAGCTTCGCTTCGCTTCTCTTCGCTTCTCTTCTCTTCGCTTCCCTTCGCTTGGCGTCGCTTCGCTTAGCTTCCCTTAGCTTCATGTTGGCTTCGCTTGGCTTGGATTAACTTCGCTTAGCTTCGTGTTCGCTTTGCTTAGCTTCGCTTTGCTTTGCTTAGCTTCGCTTCACTTTGCTTCGATTAGCTTCGATTCGCTTCCCTTAGCTTCGTGTTCGCTTCGCTGAGCTTCTCTTCACTTCGCTTCGCTTAGCTTCGCTTTACTTCACTTAGCTTCGCTTAGCTTCGTTTCGCTTCGCTTAGCTTCTCTTCTCTTCGCTTCCCTAAGCTTCGCCTCGCTTCTCTTCGCTTCTCTTCGCTTCGCCTAGCTTTGATTAGCTTCGCTTAGCTTCGTGTTCCCTTTGCTTAGCTTTGCTTCGCTTCGCTTAGCTTCGTGTTCGCTTCACTTTGCCTCGCTTCGCTTTGCTTTGCTTAGCTTCGCTTAGCTTCGCTTAGCTTTGCTTCGCTTCACTTAGCTTCGCTTCGCTTTGCTTAGCTTCGCTTCGTTTCGCTTTGCTTCGCTTCGCCTTGCTTCGCTTTGCATAGCTTCCCTTAGCTTCGCTTAGCTTTGCTTCGTTTTGCTTTGCTTCGCTTCGCTTAGCTTCGCATTGCTTCGCATAGCTTCGCTTCGCTTCCCTTAGTATCGGTTCGCTTCCCTTGGCTTTGCTTCGCTTCGATTAGCTTCGCTTAGCTTTGCAAAGCTGTGCTTAGCTTTGCTTTGCTTCACTTAGCTTCACTTCTCTTCGCTTCGCTTCTCTTTGCTTCTCTTCGCTTCGCGTAGCTTAGCTTCGCATAGCTTCGCTTCTCTTCGCTTGTCTTCGCTTCGCTTCCCTTAGCTTCGCTTCGCTTCTCTTAGCTTCGCTTAGCTTTGCTTTGCTCCACTTATCTTTGCTTTGTTTTCGCTTCGCTCCTATTAGCTTCGCTTAGCTTCGCGTCGCTTCGCATAGCTTTGCTTTGCTTCTCTTCGCTTCTCATCGCTTAGCTTCGCTTTGCTTAGCTTCGCTTAGCTTCGCTTCGCTTCGCTTAGCTTCGCTTAGCTTCGCTTCTCTTCGCTTCGCTTCGCTTCGCTTAGCTTCGCTTAGCTTCGCTTCGCTTCGCTTCGCTTCGCTTCGCTTCGCTTAGCTTCGCTTAGCTTCGCTTCGCTTAGCTTCGCTTCGCTTTGCTTAGCTTTGCTTCGCTTCGCGTAGCATCGCTTAGATTTGCTTCGCTTTGCTTCGCCTAGCTTCGCTTAGCTTCGCTTCGCTTCGCCTAGCTTCGCTTAGCTTATCTTCGCTTCGATTAGCTTCGCTTACTTTCTTGTTCGCTTCGCTTCGATTAGCTTCGCTTCGCTTCAATTAGCTTCGCTTCGCTTCGATTAGCTTCGTGCTCGCTTCGCTTAGCTTCTCTTCACTTCGCTTCGCTTTGCTTAGCTTCCCTTAGCTTCATGTTCGCTTCGCTTAGCTTCGCTTCGCTTAATTGGATTAGCTTCGCTTCGCTTCGCTTAGCTTCGTGTTCGCTTCGCTTAGCCTCGTTTCTCTTAGCCTCGCTTCTCTTAGCCTCGCTTCTCTTAGCCTCGCTTCGCTTAGCTTCGCTTCGCTTCGATTAGCTTCGCTTAGCTTCTGTTCGCTTCGCTTAGCCTCGCTTCGCCTAGCTTAGCTTTGCTTTGCTTAGCTTCGCTTCGCTTTGTTTAGCTTCGCTTCGCTTCGCTTCGCATATCTTTGCTTCGCCTCGCATAGCTTCCCTTAGCTTCTCTTAGCTTCGCTTCGCATCTCTTAGCTTCGCTTAGCTTCGCTTCGCCTAGCTTCGCTTAGCTTCGCTTCGCATTGCTTAGCTTCGCTTCGCTTCGAATAGCTTCGCTTAGCTTCTTGTTCGCTTCGCTTCAATTAGCATCGCTTTGCTTCGCTTGGCTTCGTGTTGGCTTCGCTTAGCTTCTCTTCACTTTGCTTCGCTAAGCTTCCCTTGTTGTGTGATGTCATCATATGCTATCACATTCTGTCTGCCTCCCATCCCATATTTTTTCAACTTGCATGTGTGGTTTGAACGTGTGCAAGAATTTGTGTGTGATGTGTTCTGGAGTTTGGGAATGTGTTTTGTGTTATTTTGTTTGAGCAGGTTTTTTGTGATGATAGATCTTGAGAAGATCTTTCCGACGCAACGAGAATCCCTTCAATCGGAGCAAGAACGCGAAAGCTATGAAGATTCAAAGTTCATGAGCTTGCGTTACAATTGCGGCGGTTACAAAGTGAAGTTGTGGGGTGACTCTATATGGAGTTGGGACCTTTGGGGGTTTGGGAAATTTGTCACTCACTGTAACAGCTGCAAATTGGTTGGGAACAACCAAGCTAGGTTGGCAAGGGTGGCCAACTTGGATGGATTGGTTGGGAAGGGACAAATGTCAAAGTTGGGGTTCCTATAGGGAGGGAATCTTTGTGCTTATGGGGTTTCCTTGGTTGGGGACTCTCTTGGGACCTTCCCTCTCATCCCTCTCTTCCTATCCCAACCTTTCTCTTGCTCCTTCTAATTCCTTGTGAGATTCTTGAACTTTGATTGAACCTTTGAGATTGAGTTAAGTTCTCCTCCTACAGCTTACCCCCTAGTGCGTCGAAAGCCATAGCGTCGCGAATACTTTATCAATCAACATGATTCAAATTGGGAACGGTAGCTGAGATTAAGAGCTACAACATATCCAAGTTTCGCGACATTCCAACGGCTAGTTGTTTGTCGACGTCGTTTCTTGTGAAGACGACTTTTCTGTCCAGAATTTCGGATTTATATTTTGAGTAATTCTAGCTCCTAAGTTCACCTAGACTCCGTCCTTAATCCTAACAAGTGGTATCAGAGCCATATTAAGGACATTGAGAGGAGTCTACAGAAGTGTGAAGACCCTTCTAGACCCACCATGGCCTGTGGGTGTGCCTAAGTGGTGTTCTAAAGGTTGGATGTGTCTTCCGCTAAGGGGAAACTCTGCCGAAATTTCGTGGACGCCGATACTTGTGAAAATATCGAGGGAGCTGAGTGTGGACAGCAAAGGGGAGCTGAAATTCGTCATTTCTCAAGGAGAAGATGAATGAGAGAGGAGGAGATGCTAATGGAAGAGGAGCTGTAGCTGAGAAGACAAGTGAGCCGCCGCCATCAAAAGTTGAAGCTTTGGATGGCTCCAACTATGAGGAATGGAGCGGACGGATGAGGAGTGCCTTCAAACGCTACAAGCTACTGAAGATTGCTGTTGGGGAAGAGAAGATGCCGGAAGAAGGCGAAGCACGCGAACGGTGGATTGAGAAAAGCGCGGTGCTTTTCGACCTCATCCTTCAATCGGTCAACAAGGAGATGTTCGAGCACATCAAGGATCTTGTGGAAGCGGATGATTCGGGTCCAAGGGCGTGGAAACTACTACGTGATGTGATTCAGCCCAACACTCTCCCAATGGTGATCGTGCTCGAGAAGGAACTTGCTGCCATCTCCATGCGACCAGGGGACGATGTGAAGCCGGTCCTTGACAAGATCAAGGACACCTATGCAAGGATGGCAGCAGCGGGCAGTAGTGTATCTCAGCTGCAGCAGTGCACCAAGATCATCTCGGTGTTGGACAACTCTTGGGACAACCTCATCCCCACCCTCAACTCTCAGCAAGATCAATGGACACCTGAGTGGCTAAGGCAGCAGATTCTGCAGGAGGACTTCCGCAGACGCCATGTGGGAGGCGGTGCTGCCACTAAGACTGCTGAGGGGTATGGAGCTGCAGGGCGCGGCAGAGGAAGAGGGGGTTGGAGAGGCCGAGGCCGTGGGAGAAGCTTTGGCAGAGGTAGAGGCCGAGGTGACTATAATGAGGGGCATGGGAGCTCCAGTGGCAGGGGGAGTACCAGAATGGAGGGCACCTGCTGGTACTGCAAGAAGGTCGGGCATCCTTGGTTCAAGTGCTTCAGCAGGCCGGAGGGATGGGCACCTCCAGGCATGAAGCCGCCCAGTGGTGAACGCGCACAAGGTGGTGCTGTGCAAGGCTCAGGTGCACAAGGTGAAGGTGCACAAGGTAATGCCTATCCTGGGATGTTTCTTATGGTTGAGGATGTGCATGGGCATGAGGGTGATGTGGGATCTGTGGGAAAGGTTGTGATGCACCCTCTCACGCACTGGGTGATTGATTCAGGTTGCACCAGTCACATGACCCCACGGGCAGATTTGCTTGATGAGGTAAAACCCCCTGGGAAGATCAAGTATGTGGCAGCAGCGTCAGGTGCTTTGCTCCCTGTCATTGGTGTTGGAAATGCCAAGGTTAAGGGAGCTAATGGGGAGCTTGTGGGGCTTGGGAATGTTCTGCTGGTTGAAGGCTTGTCTGCTAACCTTCTCTCTGTGCGACGACTGCAGAAGAGCAAGGCCGAAGTGACCTTTGGACCAACCAGCTGCCATGCTAAGCTTGGGAAGAAGGTGCTGTGGAGTCTGGAAGAGGAGACCAGCTGCATCAAGGACCTGTGGCAGCTGCCCATCATCCCATGGAATGGGAAGACTCCAACAGCAGCAACGGCAGCAACGGCAAAGGCAACAGCAGGAGGAGATGCAACTGCACCAACTGATGGGGTCCTGGAAGCAGTCAAGAAAGTGCAGCAGCAGCAGACACATGGCGAGGTGCTTGCTGGTGTGGATGCGAGTGCGGCATGGGCTAAGGCTTCATCAAGGAGTGGAGAGGCCGATTGGGAGACATGGCATGAGAGGCTGTGTCATGTGAACTTCCCTATGCTGCAGAAGTTGGTGAAGGATGGGAGCCTGAAGGGCTTGGAGGTGAAAGGGGGAGTGAAGGAGATTGGGAGCTGCCCTACATGCTTGGAGACCAAGTTCTCCAAGTTCCCCTTCAACAGCACTACAGGACCAGCCAAGACCCCACTTGCACTTGTGCACATGGATGTGGTGGGGCCCACAAGAGCCCCTTCCCTCTCAGGCAGCCGCTATTTCTTGACAATTGTGGATGACCACACTCGGGCAGTGTGGGTTTACCCTTTGAAGAGCAAGGGGGAGGTGGCAGCGGCTGTCCTTAAGGAGTGGATGCCTAGAGCTCAGAGGGAATGCGGATACAAGGTGAAGGTGATCCGTAGTGACAATGGTGGGGAGTTCATTGGAGCTGATTTTGAGGGGGAGTTGAAGAGGAAGGGGATCCAGCATCAACTGACAGTGCCCTACAACCCGCAGCAGAATGGCGTGGCTGAGAGGTTCAACAGGACCCTGCAGGAGGGGGCACGCACTCTCCTTGGGCGTGCAGGGCTGCCTGATCCATTTTGGGTGTCTGCACTGAGGCAGGTCGCCCTTGTGAAGAACAGGGTGCTGGCTACAGTTGGAGATAAGGAGTGGATCCCATATGTCAAGTGGTATGGGAGTGCTCCAGCTGTGAACATGCTGAGGGCATTTGGGTGCATGGTGGTGTTTGATGTGCCTAAGGAGAAAAGGGGGAAGTTGGAGGCTTCTGGAAGATGGGGTGTGCACTTGGGGATTGCAAAGGATCACAAGGGTTGGCTGCTATGGGACTTGACCACCCAGAAGCTGACAGTGTCAAGGGATGTGAAGTTTCTGGAGTCCCTGTACTACAAGGAATGGAAGCAGCAGCAACAGAAGCTTCCATCTACACCGCTCATTGTGGAGGCAGACGAGGTGCAGCAGCCTTCAAGACAGGTGGAGGTTGCAGTGTCAGAGGAGGAGATGTCTGGGGTGACTGAGGAAGGGGGAGCAGCTGAAGTAGAGCAGCAGCAGCAGCAGCAGCATGAGTCTCCATCTCGAGTTCCACACCCGCCTGAGCGACCTAGGAGGGATGTGCGCCCTCCGGTGAGGCTGACCTATGGGGGAAGAGGCAAGCCAAATGTGGTGCAGGCTGGGAGTGTGGTTGAGCAGATTGAGGAAGATGAGATCGCTCACTGCTACTGGGCACCAATCCCTGAGCCCAAGACTCGAGAGGAGGCCTTGAATGGACCAAATGGGGAGAAGTGGAAGGCGAGTGAGGATGAGGAGTTCGGGTCCCTGATTGAAAACGAGACATGGGACCTGTGTGACTTGCCTCCTGGGAAGAAGGCAATCACTTCCAAGATGATCTACAGGCACAAGTATGGACCTGAAGGGGAGCTGACCCGCTACAAGTCTAGGCTTGTGGCACGGGGGTTTCAGCAGACAAAGGGGAAGGACTATGATGAGGTGTTTGCTCCTGTGGGGAAAGGAACAACATTGAGGGTGCTGTTGGCGATAGCTGCACTCCTGGGATGGAAGATTCGGCAGATGGACATTGTGACTGCCTTTCTGAATGGGATCATTCTGGAGGAGGTGTACATGAAGCAGCCAGAGGGGCTGGATGATGGGAGCGGCAGGGTCTGCAGGCTGAAGAAGGCCATCTATGGCCTTAAGCAGGCGCCTCGTGCATGGTATCACAAGTTGGAGGAGGCGCTGCTGGCTGGGGGTTTCAAGAAGAGTGAGTGTGACCCCAGCCTGTTCCTGCTGCAGGAGAAGGACGAAATCCTCATGCTCTTGGTGTATGTGGATGATATCCTTCTCTTTTCTGCATCAACTGCTTTGCTGGACAGCGCAGAGCAGATGCTGGAGATGCAGTTCAAGTGCTCCAAGATGGGTGAGGCGAAGTACTACTTGGGGATGCATGTGGAGAGAGATGTGGAAAAGGGTGTGCTGAGGTTGCACCAGAGGAAGTACTGTGAGGGGCTGGCTGAGAAGTATGGGCTGCAAGATGGGGGAAAGCCAGCAACACCACTACCTTCAGGGTTTACTGTGGAGCCATGTGCTGATGAGGAGGTAGTGGGTGATAGTGACAGGAAGCTGTTTCATTCGATGGTTGGGTCGCTGAATTATGCTGCAAATCATACACGGCCTGACATTGCATTTGCTACATCACGACTGGCTAGCGTGGTTTCACGTCCTAGTCATGAGCAGCTGGAAGCGGCCAAGAGGTTGGTCCGCTATGTGAGTGCTACGGCATCAGTGGGATTGGAGTACAGTGGAGTGAGGCAGCGGTTGCAGAGAGGTGCTGCAGATGTGAAGAGTGGTGAGATGCTCTTGAGTTGCTATACTGACGCTAGCTTCAACTCAGTGAAAGCGGATGGCACCAGCATTGGGGGTTATGTGTGCTTGCTGGGAGGTGGTGCTGTGAGCTGGCGCAGCAAGAAGCAGAATGAGGTGGGATTGTCTTCATGTGAGACTGAGTACATGGCCTTACACCATGGGGCCAAGGAAGTGGTATGGCTGAGGCGTTTGTTGGAGGAGTTGGGAGTTGGTCAGGAGGAGCCGACAGTTGTGTTCTGTGACAATGAGTCTGCAGTGAAGCTGGCCAAGAATGCTTGTCTGCATGGGCTGACAAAACACATAAGGCCTAAGTGGCATTGGGTGAGGAGAATCCTTGATAAGGAGGTGCGGCTGGAGATAGTGAAGACCCATCAGCAGGCAGCAGATATTTTCACTAAGCGTCTGGCGGAGGCGGATCATTGGAAGGGCATGAAGCTTGCTGGGATGAGTGTGCATTGAGTATGCATGCTTGAGATGTGGTATGGTCGATGATGGTTGGCAGCCAGAGGGGGAGATTGTTGTGTGATGTCATCATATGTTATCACATTCTGTCTGCCTCCCATCCCTTGTTTCTTAGCTTCATGTTCTCTTCGATTAGCTTTGCTTCGCTTCGCTTCGCTTAGCTTCGTGTTCGCTTCGCTTAGCCTCGCTTCACTTAGCTTCGCCTAGCTTCTCTTAGCTTCGCTTAGCTTTGCTTTGCTTCGCTTAGGTTTCCTTAGCTTAGCTTCACTTCACTTCGATTTGCTTCCCTTAGCTTCGCTTAGCTTCGCTTCCCTTCGCTCAACTTCGCTTCGTTTCGCTTCACTTCTATTAGCTTCGCGTAGCTTCGCTTTGCTTCGCATAGCTTTGCTCTGCTTCTCTTTGCTTCTCTTCGCTTCGCTTCGCTTAGCTTCGCTTAGCTTCGCTTCACTTTGCTTGCTCCACATAGCTTTGCTTCGCTTAGCTTCGCTTAGCTTCGCTTCGCTTCGCTTAGCTTCGCTTTGCTTCACTTAGCTTCACTTCGCTTCGCTTCGCTTCTCTTAGCTTTTCTTAGCTTCACTTCGCTCAGCTTTGCTTTGCCTCTCTTCGTTTCTCTTTGCTTCACTTCGCTTAGCTTCGCATAGCTTCGCTTCGCCTCGCTTTGCTTCAATTCGCTTCGCTTCGCTTAGCTTT